TCACCCTGGTTGCCTTGTTTTTGCGGGAGTGGTGTGATAGCTTTTGGTCGGTTTTTCATTAATTAACCGGACAACTTTGGGACCGACTTGAAAAAGACATCCGGTGAATCGATCTTACACTTGATGACGGTTTAGTTATTAAATTAGTAAATCATATATGTATATGTATCTATACCCCTACTAATAAAGTAAGGTGTGTTTCGCCAATTTTTCATCCGTTCACCGCCGAAAAAAATTCTACCCGAGGTGGTACTAAATTTTTATGTGTTTGTGTGCTAGAAAAACAATTTTAGTACGTGGGCTGCGCATTATGGCCCAGCGAAGCCAGCTCACCTATTTTTCTACCCACGCAGCTGGCAAAATTCTATTTATCGCACCGGGCGACAAATAGTCAAAGTTTCGCACAGGACAACCAATAATGGGCTGGCCCATTTTTTCTGTGTTTTTATTTCTATTTTTATTCTCCTTTCCATATCTCTTTTTCCCTTCCAAATTTATTTCTCTTTTAGAATTGGACTCTGATAACTGAAAACCATGTGACAGATTGCAAAACTACCAACCGACCTCTTCCTCTCGAACGAATCGCTCCCTTCGATCGAGCCTCCTCTAGCGGGCTCCTCCCGATTCTGGGCTGTGCCAACCTTCGATCCCACCTCTCGAACAAACCAACTCTGAGGACGCGGGGTCGACCTGTCAGCAGTTAAAAAAAGGCACAAAAAATGGCATGCATGGGGATCGAACCCACATCATCATCACACACTAAATGTAATGACATCCAGTTGTGCTAGCCACCTTTATTGATTAGAATCAACATACACACTACTTGTATCTACTTGAGACGAGATAAAAAAAAGACAACCAACAGTCTAGCCACCTTTATTGATTAGAATCAACCTACACGCTACTTGTATCTACTTGAGACGAGATAAAAAAAAGACAACCAACAGTAACTGAAAATCCAAAACACCAGGCTCATTTGTTTGGGTTTTAGGACTATGCATTCTAGTTCCATCTTTTTTTCTGCATGTTTCACATCGGTTCACACGGTTCAAAAATCTGGAAGTCCCCTTCCCTCCTTTTTCAGATGCAAATTACAACGGTGTTTGCATTTAACTTATCATAAATGCGGGTCATATATTACCATACTATTTACATAGAAATTACCGGGGTATGTTCGTAAACAACGTTTTCCCGTTGTCAAATGTTACCGTGGTGATTGTACTTAAGTTATCGGGTATGAGCTTCATGTATTATCATACTATTTATATAGAAG